ACCAGAGGCACGACAAGAGAGGTATTGCAGCTGCGCTTTCGGGGTGGGTGTACTTCGCGAATCTGTACCAACACCGAAGAGAGTGGCCACATACTACATAACGCTTGCCAGAAATAGAGTTGCAGTCGTGTCTGTAACTGTAGAGTTCATGCCTTCACAGACGTCGGGGTGTGCAAGCCGCCGCTAGCTGCTGGACACAGCAAAGTGGCATAGTGCTTGCATTGGGACGCGCAGGTACCAGCTAGCACGGCTTGAAACCAGTAGGCCGAGAACCCTATCCTTCTCATAATGATGCCATTGACGAATGGACTTGGCACAGTCGCCATCACCACCTATTGACCTAATCTTGGTGTCTTCGTCATTCAAAATTCGAATTGACATCGTCCTCGCCATGAGGCTGATCATGAAGTGAGCAACGGTATGTACGTTTGTGTGCACGCGTATATGGTGTCGTAGATACATATTTATACATCACAAGCACTTGCTCACCGGGCTGTTCGACTTGTGTTCTTATACACCTACCTTCTCGGTGCATGTCCACGGTCGCCAAATCTTTTCCACAAATGTCACATACCTACAAAGTCTTAGCGATTGGTGCGGCGAAAGTTCCACCTTCTCGTTGGAGGCCCGGAGAGAAGCCGAGGCTCCAAGAGAACCGGCCGAGGAGGCTTTTGGGATGCTTTAGAATTTCAAGATCGTCTAGAGTTCGGTTTGCAGAGTCCTGCTATGGCGTGGTGCTGATGATCGACGAGAGCTGTCGCAGCTGCGAAGATATTGTATAGGAGACTGATAGGGCTATCATCAAAATACCCTCGAGCTAGGGAGGGGTTGGTTTGCAGGTCGTCGTGAGATTTCGGATCTCAGAAATGAGAAGCAGTTGAAGTGGAGTCGAGATCCAGTTGAAGGGATCAGAATCCTGTTGCTTTCATACTTGCTTCTGGTTTCAAGCGTGAACTGAAAAATGCAGGTCATGCATGTAGTTACCATCAAGTTCGGCAACATGTGGCAGGACGATGCCCAGATCCAAGACGATTTGGGACGGAATCTTCGGCTCGCATATCATAGGCACAGACTGACCTTGGAATTTCAACCCAAGCTCGGTCTTTCAAAGCGGAAGGAGTCTACGCACGGATCATACCACGATACTGAGACTATGGATGGGTGTCGCAGATCGTCCGCACATCACAGAGAGACAACACGCATCTTGTGCTGAAGGGCAGCCATGATTGTGTCCTGAGAAAACACGACTTTCTGAGCTGTTACTGGGCTGCGTCATCTACACCGGCCGAACCAGCATGTCCCCCAAACTCCCCGACACTGCTCCTCGGCTTCCTGTCCAGTTCTCAGGAATCGAGAGCCCGTGCCCCCGAAGCACGATGATGGTCAGTCAGTGGAGCGCGCCGCTGTCGCCGCTGGGCTAACATTTTTTCCGAGACACGTGTTAAGCATCGTCATGTAGCATGTATTGTGCGTCTCTCCGTTGGAATACATGGCATTTCTCTCGAGCCCTAATTACAGAGAAAGACTTGTACAGGCAGGATAGCATGTAGGAAGCAATCGAACTCGATCGTTTGCCACAGGCTGCCGCAGAAGAGCTGCCAGCCACATCCGTGGAGGCACTTAAGCTAGCAGAAGCCGAGCCGCGGCATCGTCGCAGCAGGAAGCTGCCAGACAGCTCTGTGCACTGCCGACCTGACAGGACGACAGTCGAGTCGCGCCCTTTCGCGAAAATCCGCTCGAGAGTCAAAGTCAGGAGGCTGGGACTTTGCAGGGCGAATGCCAGCTGCCAGAATCGCTCGAGTCTCGTGTCCAACCAGAAAGAATCTCATTGACTCATGCTTCCAGCACGTCGTGCAAGATGGGAAGGAAACGTTGATGCACCACGGAGTTGTGGCACCACTGTCCATGCCACGCAACACATGGAAACCAAACGCCCAGCACAGCGACACCATCTTTTTTCCAGCACTGGGCGCAAAAGCCAATGGCGTCCCTACGGCCGGCAGCGGTGCCGGCTGCGCCGCCAGCCTCGGCACTGCAGCGCGCTGCGGCAAAGCCACAGCCTGCACTGCGGCCACCGGGGCATCTTGGACATAATGAAGGTTTGTGATAGAGAGACCTGTCCGCTGATACAATGACTGGGCATCGTGGCAACCAGCATGGCTGCAACTCGTCTATCTTCTGGGCCTCGAAGACACGCTTGACAGGCAAAAAGTCTCTGACAGATTGGCAGGTCTTTGCCGACAGCAGCAGCCTTTGGCTTGCTCTCCCTGTGCCGGGCACTTCGCCTCAGCCGTCCGCCGGTGCCACGGCTTCGCTGGCGTGCAGTGCGCCTTGCGAGGAAGGCGGGAGTGAGAGGTGTTCTTGCTCATGTCGTTCAGGTCGCAAATATTAGATTCCCGTGAGCAACCAGGAGTCTACACAATCCTCCGGCAAGAGTGGAGCTGCCAGCCGTTCCTTTGCAGGCACAGGGGTGGGGGAGGAATCCATGATCGCATGTCATGCTCAACTTGGAACCACACTGAGTCAGGAGCCAAAGAAACACCGCGGGTCCGGAGAAGGAGACAGAGGCCCTCGCCCCTGAAAAGGACAGTTTACAAAGCGAGTGTTTACAAGATGTTTCGGCCTTGCACTAATTTCACTGTAAAACCTGGAGACATTTTTCGATGAAATTTTTGCCCTAGGAGAAATGAAGTGAGGCTTGTTTGGTTGCGCTCAGAATCCTCGCCTTCCGGCATTTCAGCATCAGGCGGCAGCGGCCCAAAGTGCTTCGTAAACCCGAGCTGGATCCGAATGAGGCCTCGCACGTTCACATGTCCCAGCCTTGCACAGCTGAGATGTGAGCAGCAAGTAAGTAGTCCCTCAGCAGGTGCCCGAGGTGCAGCCCGCCATCATCGTGGATGAGGCACATTCGCACATTGAATCTGGGAAATTAGCAACTCGTCGAGAGGTGTCCTGGACCCCGGCGGTGAAAGGAGCCGGCGAGAAGGGGCGGTACTCAACCAAACCGGTCGCCAGGCTGCAAGGGCGCCTTCTGCAAACCTTAAACTCCTTAAACTCTAAGTCCAGACTTTGCAATCCTGAGGTCCTCGAGTCCGTGAGTTGGAGCGTGTGCCGGAAGCAGAAGATTGGGTTGATTGGACCCAATGGTTGTGGGTCTCTGGGATGCATCGCTATCAGAGCAGGTTTTTTTCGGTGTGTGCTCAGAATCATTAGTGGCATCAGCGCCTCCACTGTGCCCAGGAAAAGCTCGCAGCTTCTGATGCTTCTGGGGCAAATTGAGCCGACTGGTGGCAGGTGGGCGTCGGCTCAACCATGCTCAACCCGTGCGACAGAGTGATAGCAATCGGTTCCGGGTAGGCTACAGAGGGGTGTCGAAGCTGGCCGCTATCCTGTTGCTATCTGCTGTTTGTTTGCAGCTGAGTAGGGATACCTTCACCTAAATTTTAGGGCTGAGGGATGTGCAACCCAAAGCCGATGTGACTCGTGGTGCCCTGATGAGTCACATGCCTGCAACAACTTAACCCGACTGCAGCCAATGTGTTGCCGTTCGTACAGAACCACCTCGCCTGCACCGTCCGAGTTGCGAGCGTCCAAAGCCGATGTTATGTTTGGTTGATTCATGTACTGGAACAACTTTACAGTGACACCTGCCATGCAGTGTCTGCGGACGTTGCCAAGTGGGAGCCAAAAGATTCAGCTGGACCCCTGTGAACCGGATCCCTGAAAGAAAAGGCATGTTCAACGGATGCAAGTGTTTTTGGTCGGGTGGCAAAATTTAAAAAAAACACTGTAGATAAGCCTGATAAGCCATGAAAGTCACACGGAGCCGATGCTGTTATGCGGCATGCAAGCACGCAGGATCATGAAGCACCCCGCAAACATGAAGATTGCCTACATGCAGCAAGAGGCCGACTTGGATAACGGCAAAACTACCTTCGAGGCCTGCAGCCCGCATTATGCTGATGCTGTTTGAAACCTCTAGCCTGTTCCCGAATGCCTCAGTCTCATTTGGAGAGTTTCCGTCGTGGGCGCGCATAAGGAGTTGCTGTCGGTCTTCGGCGACCGAGCACTTGCAGATGTTGACTCAGCCATCAAGGAGGCGACAGCGGACGCCAGGCTGGACGGGGTGCATGCCAGCTGGGTTTTGGCAAGCCAGGCCTGTGCCTCTTGCGAGTTTCCATGAACTGCCCAGAGGCTGGAGCAGCTGGACGAGCTGGTGGAGGACTGTCCAAGCATGTCAAAGTTAAATTGTTACCGGCCACTCCGGCATCTCGGAAAGCGGGGCCAAGCTGCTTTTGGCAGACCAGGAGCGAAACCTCACCGAGAAGCATCTCGGGGAGGCTTGATTGACGTCGCGGGATGAATTCACGGTTCTAGTTGCTTGCCAGTCGTGGTCCTGGCCGCACAGACGTCTGGATACGCAAAACATAGAGCTAGCGATGCCCAAAAGGTTTGCTCACTACTGAGACTATTTTTCCGCAGGTCGAGGACCTGATACTGCAGTTGGATCTTGTGACTAAGCTGCAATCGAGGAGCACATAGGCATAGCATTGCACATTAAGCCTGCTCAAGAGGTTTCCTACCGCAAAACTCTGGCGCGGGATATGTCTGGAGGATGGCAGATGCGAGTTGCGCTTGGGAAAATCATCCTTTCCCGGCCAGATTTGATTCTCCTCGACGAGCCAACGAATCACATAGACCTGGAAACGGTGGAGTTCATGGAGGAGTTGCTGAGAGCGCAAGATGTGGCGATGGTCATCGTGTCCCATGACCGATACTTCCTGAACCAGGTGTGCAATCGTATAGTTGAGATTGCAGACGGTGAGTCAAAGACCTACTTTGGAAACTATGTGGAGTACTTGCAAGCCCGGGATGGTGCCTTTTACAGTGAGTGGCAAGAGTACAACTTGCACAGAGACCGGGTGCTCGCCTTGAAGAAACGCATCAAGAAGCTGCAGCAACGATTTCTCATGGACACTCTGAAGCAGAAGAAGCAGGATGCTGCTAAAGCATGAGTGGAGCGCGTTGTGTTTGTTACGGCTCGGTTTGGGGTTTGGGTCTTCCGACTGTTACAGGGATCGGATTCCTGGGAGCTTCCGCGAGGGCTAGCAGATTACCTTTGAGATGCCTTCGTCGATTCGTGGGTTGCAGTTTGGGCCACATGACAAGCAGGCAGCTGTTGAGGCGGCTTGGCCCAGTTGCCTTTCAATCCTCATGTTAGGTCATGTTCGCTCAGTCGTACAAGCATGGTTTCGTCGTGTTCGGTCGAAAAGTCGTGAGACCTGCAGGACTTAGAGAAGCTCCTTGCAAATGCCCCGCCCAAGCCAGAGGCACGAATCATCCCAGGGTTGGTCCAGGTTGCTGTGTGCACATCTTTGACGAAAAGCACACGATGCATGCAAGGATGCAGGAGCCAACAAGCAAAGTAGCTTTGCTCTGCCGAACCTGGAGGTCAAGGTGGTCAAGAATTTCCGCTTCCCTTGCTCCTTGTCGGTGGCCTCCATGGATGACGAAGCCTCCACAAAGGAATCTTCTGTCGACGAGGAGCTGCTGTTGTTTCGCAACCGTGGTTTGCTGCTGCCGCGAAATCGGAAATTGCGACACTGTGATTGTGAATGTCCCAAGAAGGAACCATCAGAGGACGTGGACGACGTGTGGGGTTCAGAAGTCGAGCCGCTGCCGCTTCTTGAGGCAGATGTGTTGAGAATGTGGAGAAGGGCTTGTCGCTCTTGTTAGATCTTGTTAGCAGGTGGAGAACTTGAATGTCGCCTTCCCGGAGAAGGCGCAGAGAAGGGAGCTTTGAGCGAGCGTAAACGTTGTTTGGGTGCGAGAGGAGCTGCGGGGAGGAGGGTTTGCACGCGACCTGCCTCTCGAGGAAATTCTGAAGAACATCAGCTTCACTCTGCGCCAGGGTGAAAAGGTGGCAGTGGTCGGACCGAACGGATGTGGCGACCCGCCACAAGACGAAAGCATGTAAAGTGATGTCTTTGAGCTTGTGCTTTGCCGCGAGGTAAGAGTACCCTCGTGAAGGCTTTGGTGAATGACCTTGACAAGTCCGGTCGTGTCGAAGGCAGGAGCCCCCCCCCCCCACGGATCCAGCCCCACGCGCCTGCAGGCTGCCTTTCATGTGTAAGCACAGTGGGCGTTCGAGAACTTGGCCTGCGACTCTGCTCTGCACCAGGGCAAGCCTCCATAACGTCGGCTGGCTCTGCCTACTTTCCGCAAAGAAGCTAGCCCGCAACAAACAACGGTTCATCTTGCCTAATTCAAGTCTTGAGGGGAGCGCCCAATCATTCTCAGATTTGTAGACACGCGCGGACCTCGATGTGGGCTCCTCGAAAAGAGCCAGAAGAGTTCACTGTCAACATGTGCCAACTCATCCCAAGGACTTGCCGAAGCGTTTAACACCGAGGAGGGCTCGGTCCAGGATGCGCTGTACATGTCATGTCACTTGGTGGCGTGAAGGTAGTCGCAGTTTCGAAGATCGAGCTTGCGAAATCCCATGGCCAGAGCAGAGTTAGTAGAGCTGTAGCGTTGTCATCCCTGCAGTCCCTGCTTGGACTTCTCCAGGCACATCCATGGACGTGGAACGAGCCGGTGGCATTGAACTTCGGAGCTTCAATTAGGCGAAATGCAAACACCTGCAGGTTTGCCTAGTTTGATGACTGCAGCGAAGGACCGGGCTTTACACAGCGTCTCTAGAGAAATGCATTCAGGAAGCTGTCCTGGACCGTTTACGGCTCAATGGCATTACGGCGAAGCAGCCGGTCTCCAGCCTTAGTGGCGGTGAGAAGGCCGGACGAGCAAAGCGGTGCAAAATTGGTGCGGGAGATGTGGAGGGGAGCCCATGCAAGGCACGCCTGGCCTTTGCCAAGTTCTTGCTGAAGCCGGTGGCCTTGCTGGTTCTCGACGAGCCAACCAACCACCTGGACATTCCGACAAGGGAGCTCCTGGAAGATGCCCTGAAGTCCTTCGAAGGACGCTGCCCTGAACCAGTCTAGAAGATGAGCCTTTTTCTGTTCTGATGGCAGGCGCGGCGCTGGTGGTTAGCCACGATCGCCGCTTGTCGGCTTGTGGAGCTTCATGTGGAGACTTCCTGGAGCCTCCAAGCATCTCAAAGCTTTGAGGCTTCTTCCTGCGCGAGTTTTCCACCCGGGTCTTGGAAGTTTCGAACGGCAACATTATCGACCACCCGAGCTGGGACGACTACCAGGCATGCTGGGCAAGAAGTTGCCTTATGCGTTTTGCCCTGGAGCCCCAGATCATCTAAGGAATCTAAAGTCGAGCGGCCAAGAAAACAGAAAGCACCCTCCAAAATTGAATGTATTTCCCTCATGTCTTCCACCTCGCCCAAGCATGGTGATTATGGTGTATGTCCAGGCAGGGTTCAATGCTCGGCTCTTGCAGAGTAACCTGCATAAAGACAAGTTCAAGACACATAAAGCTTCTCAAATCAGGATCGGTAAATGCAGAGGTATCGAAAGAGGCTTCGGCTTCAAAGCCTTGGACATCCAGTGGCGGCGGGGACTCACTCGTGGTTGCCAACGCATCCAGTCGGTCGTAGTCCAAGCCGACGGCTAGAGCGGCTAGAGCAAGAAACAGCCTAGACTCTGGCCTAGACCAGCGCTACGGTCGTTCATTCGGGCTCATGGACCAGATAGAAATGCATATCGGCTCCTCATTTTTTCGGCCCCCATGGTTATTTTTTCATCATGCCTGAGATTGCTTTTTGGCCCCCGGCGTGGGCCTGGACAACAGCGTGATTTTTGCAGCCCCCCCATATTGTCATCTTGCCCCCCCCCCGGCACATTTCCCACGCCCGAGATTACTTTCCACCCCCCAAATGATGAATCGATTCGGTGCCGGAAATTTAATGTCAGGTAATTTTGTTGGCCCCGCCGGCCCGGGGTGGAGGGGTGTAGACAGGATGGGTGGGGCCCTTCCTGCCTTGCGGGCTCCGCGTCCTTTCGCAGGCTCCCCTGCCCGTCGCACACTCCCCAGTCTTTGCGGGCTCACTGCCCTTTTCCACCCCCCCGATCCTGTGTTTTTGACCCAACTCGTGCTTTTTAAACCCCCCACCATGCTTTCTTGACCGTCATCTCTATGATCCGCGTCACCCCCACCATCGCCGTCGTTTCTATCATCCTCATCATCGCCATCATCCCTATCATATGCATCATCCCTGTCATCCCTGTCATCGCTAGCATCCCCATCATCCGTGTCGTCGCCGTCATGCTTAACATCCCCAGCATCTCCGTCGCAACTATCCTCCTTATCGCCTCGTCGTGTTTATCAGCCGCGTCAGCCCCATGATCTTTCTCATTCCCATTCAGCTCTATCTTTCCCAGCAAGCATCAGTGTCACCTCTATCATGCCATCATCTCCGTCATCGCTATCATCCCCATCGTCTTCATCATTCCCATCACGTCCGTCATCCTGTAATCCTATCATCTTTCTCTCGCCCAACATCCCCCCTCATCTGTATCTTCCCCATCATCTTTGTCGTCCTTTCATCGTGTCACCCGCGTCATCTCCACCATCCCTATCATCCTCAGCATCCCGGTCATCTTCATCATCCGACTACTAGGTACTAGCACTACTACCACTCGTACTGCTGCTGCTACTCCTGCTACTACTACTTCTACTACTACCACTACTACTACTACTACTACTACTACTGCTTACACTACTATTACTTTTATTACTGCTATGCTCAAACACGGATTTGATGTCCAAAATCAGCGACAACCCTATGGGGCCTGCGAAACCCGATTATTAAGATGTGGATTTTCCCAAAGCGTTGCATTTCAAAGCGCTCATATGCGTTCTGTTCTCGCTGGTACAATACTCCTTACAGCAAGCTTGCACGGCTTAAGAAGGTGCTTGTATGATGGATTCTGAAAGTGCTCATATGGGGTAAAGCTTGCACTTGCACGGGGGTGCATGTGGTTGGTGCGGAATTCTTGAATTTTGCGTTTGCAGTGAAAACCTAGAGGTTTTGCAAAGCCACGGCAAGCTGGGAAAATTTGGAAAACCGGTTTACAGCGCTTTTTGCAGCCCGGATTTCGCCTTCAAGCACGCAGGGGTAGGACCCCCAAGCGGCCGTGTAATTACTTGCGAACAGCACGCAGCTGGAAAAACAAGAAGTGCAAAATCGAGTTTCGCAGGTCCTCTAGCCTTTTGGCAGGTTTGGACATGAACTTGGTGTTTGAGGGGCGCATGTGGTTTTTGTGGGTTTCCGGGTTTCTGCTTCCAGAGCGAAAACCTAGGTTTTGCATCGCTACGGCAAACGCGGTTGAGTTGTTGAAAGTACGTGTATAGCGATTTTGCGCTACCAAAGGCGTGCGACGCGCAACGTCTGGAAAAAATCCCTAGGCCGGCAGCAAAACAAACCAACAATGGAGCTATTTTGGGCCCGTTTGTGCGGTTTCCAATCGTGAAAGAACCTTGGTTCTGCAGGGATTGTTGTCTGCAGTTTGCACGAAAATCCCGCTTGAAAAGCTCCAGTGTCATTACCAAAAAAGCACCCCCAAACACAGGCATGCCTCTACGTTACCATGCCGCACCTGAATTTTCAGACAGTTGTTTTCCATGTCTTAGAGTCTTTGAGCTGCGCGGCGATTTGACAGGTTGTCGCACTGCTTCGCATCACGTGCAAGCCTTTGCTGCCGTCGTTCTTGTACACCGACGACATACATACAAATATAATATATGTGTATAAAACATGTAATGTAATATATGTTATGTTATGTATATAGAATATGTATTATGTACATTATGCATGTACATTATATACAGTTATGCATTATACGATAGATCATATACCTTACATGTTACATGCAAGAGGTGATTTATGTTACGTAAACATCTTTATGTATCTCCGTAAATACATGCAGATATAAATATATGTAAACAGCATACACATTACATGTATACTTTGTTACACATATGTACATATATATGTATATACACATATTGTTTATATGTTATATAGATATTATACGTACATGTTGTACATATATATAGATATATATAACCTGGTGTGTATGTGTATTTATATATACATATGTGTATATATATATATAATGTTTTAGTTATATATATAATGTATACTATGTGAAAAATGTTAACTTGCATTTGTTTTATGTTGCACAAGTTTTTTTTCGTATTATATTCGAGAGAGAGGCTAAAAATTTTATGAGTAGCAATTCATATATAGATATAGATGTAGATATACTATCTATAGCATACGTATTATGTAATATGCACGTATGTTATTTCCCACATGCTTTGAACATTTGTGTGTTTGCTGTATACATATGTATATATATATATATACACATATATCGGTATATCCATATATAGATATATGTGTATACATATATACTTACATACCATATTAAGACATATTCTGTTATGTATATATATACATATATGTATATGTATGTGTGTGTGTTATACATATATACAGATATTACTGTAAATTATGTTATTCTTTTAAAGATTTAGGAAATACCAACTGTATTATAATTTCTCATATTTATACTAGATACTGTAGCATATACACTACATTTGTGTTTCTGTTACATGCATGTATATACTGTGTTGTATCTATGTATATATATATATATATTATCGTTTATATACATATTTCTTTACACATTATGTATTTCTGATATAAATAAAATTTGAATATACCGTCATATATTCTGCTTCATTATATTTTCATATGTCCATATTCATATATATATATATGTGTGTGTGTATATATATGTATACAATTATATCTGTACATGTTCTAATATAGTTATATATATATATACATACATGTTATATTATATTTATATACATATATATATATATTAAAAACACTATTGCATATAGTGTGTGTATATATACATTAAATATGTATATATGAGCCGGAAACAAAGTGCAACCCCCAGCCGAACCCTGATGGAAAAGAGTCCAGTGTGTGAAGACTGCCTCAAATGTACCGGCTACGGGGACCCCGGGGCCGCAGCCGGTTTGCGTAAGGCCTGCCAGTCGGGGAACCCATCGCGCACGATGAAGGTAGTAGTCGTATAGTAGCAGCATGGTAGTAGTCGTGGTCGTGGTGGTGGTGGTGGTTTAGTGGAAACTTCGCATTGTCCCAAATGTACCGGCTACGGGGACCTCGAGGCTGTGGCCGGTTTGCGTAAGTCCTTCGAGCTGGGGGACCCATCCAAAAGCCTTGACCATGCGTACGATGAGGGTGGGAGTCGTAGTAGCGGCATGGTAGTAACAAGTAACAGGTAGGGGTCTTGGTCGTGGCGGTGGTAGTTTCAGTAGTAATGGTAGTGAGAGTCCCCTCCAGTGGTAGTAGCACGAATAGTGCTGGTCGCAGGCTGCTCCTAGTCACTCTAGAAGTTTCGCCGCCGAACATTCTATCAGTATTCCATCGCTGCAGAGTCGCTTCGTTGCACGCAGCTATTTGCCGGGACTTGTTCATCCCGTCGCCCACACCCCGCTTCTGCAGGTGCGTGCAGCATGCAGCGTTGGGCTTGGTGTCGCACTGTTCGTTTTGGTTGATTGCAATTGCTTGCGCTTGATGCACAGTAACATGGCCGTGTCCGCTCGGTGCTCCTGGGCCTAAATTCGCCCAGGCGAACACGTGCGCTCGCGACCGCGATTGCAGCCGCGGCGAGACAACAGCGACTTCCAAAAGTCCTCCTACCTCGCAGCCAAATGCTGCCGGCTGGAGCCGAGTCGTGGCATGCGCCGCTGGCACTGCTGGCGCTTGGAGAAAGGCGAAAGTCTTGCACATCTTCTGTACGTGCATCCTGCCAAAATGGCATACAACAGCACAACCGGGCTGAAAGCAAAGCCTCCTATCCGCACTTTCAGGGGGGCGCGGACGTGTCCGCTGGGCTCCCGTTTGCCAGCGGCGCCACGTCTGTGAGCCTGCCAAGCAGCATTTGGTGGGCAACTTTTTGGTACACTGCTCGCCACACTGCGCTGCGTGTCGAAAGAGACACGAGCTTTCGTGATGCAGCCACGGTTCTGGCGCGGGGTCCGCATGCTTGTTCCCGACACTGCGGTTGCATGCATCCCCAGATCTTCCAAAAGACTCTTTTTGATTAAAGGTGCTTGCTAGCTTTGTATTCAAAGTTGAAAGTCTTTATTTACAGTGTTTTTAAAACACTGATTTTTGTACATTTTGCAAGTTTTCATGCTGACATGCAACTTGCTGCGCTGACGATCGAGGAGCTCTGCAGAATTCGAGTTCCTGTGCATGCATGCATGCAGGCATGTGCATGCATGCCATGGCCATGGTGTGGTGCAATCGAATTTGTTTGCTTGTTCGATGCATGGTTCGAGCTTGTTATTTGGTACCTTGCTTAATGGACGGTGTGCCGGCCATGGCTGATGCTGCATCTGACGTCGAAATGGAGCCCATGCAAGTTACGGACAATGAGGGCGATCAGGGTTCCTGGCCCTGCTGGAAGGACGATCAGGTTTGGAATTCCTGGTGGGATGCAAGGACACATTGGCCGGGTTGTAGCCGGTGGCAAGCACATATGTACTATGTCAAGAGGATGCGTCTCTTGGCCCTATATAATGTTGAATGTTTTCATGGGTTTAGGGGCGATAAGTCGGTATAAACGATTTAGGATCCGCCTGCATCTGCCTTAGGTTGGATCCTCAAGCAAGCCAAGCGGGAGCACACACGTCGCTGTCAAAGATCAAATGTGTACCCATATGTATGTATACAGCAAGCAGTAAACATACAAATGTTCAGCGTATATGTGAAATAACATACGTACATATTACATAATACGTATGCTGGCCATATCAGTCTGTATATTTATTTCTATATCTATATCTATATCTACATCTACATCTATATCTATATCTCTATGTATAGATATATTGCTACATATAATGCTTGTAGTCTCTCGAATATAATATGAAAAAATGTGTTTGTAGCATAAAACAAATGTAGGTTAAAATATTTTCACATAGTACACATATCCTATTTATATTTGTATATATATATATATGTATATATACAATATATGAATACTGTGTATAACAAATATCATGCATACCATGTGTGTATATATATATATAAGTATACAATAATATATTTATAACATTTAACAAAATGTATAAGCACGATGTGTATATATATATATGTACAGATGTGTAACAAAGTATGCATGCAATGTGTATGTATATGTCTATGTCTATGTCTATGTCTATGTCTATGTGTATGTGTATGTGTATGTGTATGTATATGCATATGTATATGTATATGTATATGTATATGTATATGTATATGTATGTATGCATGTATATACGGCTACACATAAAAATGTCTATGTAACATAGATCACTTTTTGTATGTAACATATAATGTACATGCATAATATACATAATACATATTCTTTGTACATAATATAACACATATTACGTTACATGTTTTATACACATATACTATATTTTATCTGTAGTACGACTTATATGTTAGTTCTGAATATATGCATATATGTTCGGCTCTTGCAAAGTAACCTGCATAAAGACAGGACACATACAGCTTCTCAGATCAGGATCGGTAAAAAAAGTACCGAAAGAAGCTTCAGCTTCAAAGCGTTGACATCCAGTGGCGCGAGCACTCACTCGTGGTTGCCAACGCATCCAGTCGGTCGTAGTCGAAGCCGACGGCTAGAGCGGCTAGAGCAAGATGAGCAAGAAACAGCCTAGACCAGCGCTACGGTCATTCATGCGGGCTCATGGACCAGATAGAAATACGCTTCCAGGCGGCCGCTCCGCCGCAATGGCAGCAGGCCCAGGAGGATGAGGCCTAGGGCTCGTTTGCACGCTCAGTTTTGGCATGCGCACTACGCCAAAGCATTTGTCTAGGGGCTTATTCCACTCACAATCTGAAGAGAGAGGTCAGCTTCATCAAGCAGGATGCCGTTGTTGCTAAGATTTGGTCGAGCCGCTTGATTAGAAAGTGTTGAGTTTTGCTACGTCACACATATGCACAATTTCTCTTGAACTATGTTGTTGTTTTTGCGGCTATTTGAGCCAGAGCTTCGGCAAAGCGGTGCTTGAGACCACATGCAGCCAAGGAAAGAAGATGTCCCGTTTGGCCAAGCGCGAGGGCAAAAGCAGCTTGTTTATCCGGGGGACCCACTACCCCCCAAACGCTGCGCTTTGTTTCTGCGTATTTGTGGGGTAACTGCAGTCTGTTTGAGCCCAATCGCACGCATTGTCCGCGGAACGGTTCAGCCGAAACGGAAATCGCACGGGGCATGTGAATAATCACAGGTCCTGTTTGAAAGAATAGCGGACCCAACTTGAGTCTGTGCCGATTCACTCCCTTTTGATCTAGCAACCTACCAGAACCCCAGGGCAACAAGCTCCCATCTGTCAGCCTGCTCCTTTTGCCACTATCACTGACCCCGCTAGGAGTTATACCCTCATCGTCTCTTGACTCACTCTTAACAAAGGCATTGGCTTGCGCCGCTTATCCAATCGCATCGAGGCCGGATCTTTGTGGAGCGGTTGCAGTGTGCAGACTTCTTGGAGATTAGGGGCAACGACGGAGAACAGAAGCTCCATCCCATGCTGCCCATAGGAGTTTATGCCGAAGCCTGCAGAGAAGAAGGACGATGAAGCCGACTCCAAAGAAGCGACCCGTGAGACTGCAGGGGTTTCTACTGAGTAACTTCAAGAAAATTCGTCCTCCCCTCAAGAACGAGGGCCTACTGTTGGCTTCTGTGCAGGGAAGCCTGATTAATTCTTCACTTGCTGCAGCCCTTACTTTTGTGATGGCCAACCGAAGGTGGGTCAAGCATGGCCAGGTTGGTTGCCATGGCCTGGGCAACAGGCTGATGTGGCTGATGGCTTCATGCATGTACCTTGTCATTCTCTTGGAGCCCTCGTCCATGGAACCTTCCCAGTTCGTCTTTTGAAGCTTCACGACTGGCCAGCAGACAGTTAGCAAACACATGCTTGATTGAAGCTCATGGGTTTGCAACATTCAGAAATTGTGAAGCACCGCTTCCGGTCAGTTTGAACAATACAGAGTGCCTTGAAGATTTTCGGACGCGAAGGCCGCTGTGAAGGAGCGCAGAGCTGTCATAGAGTCATAGTCCTATTATTCGGGATTTTCGACTTGGGCCTTGGTCCCCCAATCTGTGCACGGATTCGAGCCGATCTGGCGATCCCGAGCTGCACGTAGTCTTGAGGAGAGATTGCGTGCATCCTTAGCTGGACAGAGTCAGAGTCGCAGCTTCAGATGCCTGCAAGACCTGTCGCAGCTCCAGTCCATAGGACTGCAGTTGCCCAGCGAACCAATCACCGACATGCCGCAGAGACGCAAAGTGTATGCAATGTGACTGCCTAGGTCCGGAGTTCACCTGCCCTGCCTGCTATTGGTACAGCCAAGATAAATCAGGGGCATAGGCCTTCGTGTGACTTTGACATGTATCGAAACACGAGAGGCTCCGAGCGACGGTGACCTTGCAGTGCCACAACCGGCAAACGAGGTGCGAAAGACAGTGGCCGTGTTTAGCTCAGAATTGCACATGCTCTGAATGGAACGAATATCGGTGCCGGGAGCGCATGGTTTCCAGCCGGTGCTGACGGAATACAGCCCGCGCTCCTGTGTCCGAAAGTGCGGCGCCAGTGGCTTTAGCGAAAGCTTCCGACCCGAGAGCTCCTGCTGCGATCAGGAGGAGCCAGCAGATGCCAACCAGCATCTTGATCCACTGAACACGCTGCATGCCAGCGAGGCGCAGCACCATGAACAAATCCAACGTGCTTTCGCGTCCGCCAGTTGTCATTCGGCGGCGCCAGCGAGCTCAGAACTTTGCCCTCCGCTCGCAGGTTGCAGCGCCCAATGTTTCACCGGCACACGAAACCCTTCAGGAGCAGGCACCGACCATGCTTGGGGTGACATCATGGGATTGAAAGAGGATGTTGCGGTGGTTATGCTGTTCTTGTCCTTGACACGGCGGAGGCTGCAAAGACTGGGAACAGCCCGGGTCCAGACAACTGCGATGCTGCAACTGCCAAGGCACTTCATGTGAACTTGCATCCACGAAGTTTCCAAGATTGCTTGCAGTTCCGGGCAAACCGTTGGATTATGTTTGTAAGTGCCTTACTTATGCGGCCTCCGAACAACTCTCCATCCATTTCGGTTGTCCACTAAAGTTTTCTGACAGGAAACCGCGATTGCGACACCAGTGCTGGGCAGTGCTCCTGAGGACCCCACAGCCCTTTGCAGACCGGAACCAAAAAGACGCACAGCCTTCCAAATTAAGTATCACACTCCTGGGAGCTTGTTCCGCAGGAGCCGACAACTCCCGAAGTGCAGCTAAGCAGTGCTGTGGAGGTTTGGGAGTAGCCGTGCCATGGTAGCGGTCAAGAATTTGCGTCACGCAGCACAGCATCGTTCGCACAGCATGCACAGCATGTGCCGTGCGTAGGTGTTTTGCTTTGCATTTCCTGAGAGGCGGCTGCAAGCTCCATGGAGCCGTGCGAGGTGAGGAAGGGAGAGACGTGCTGCTTTGGTTCTGGCGGCTGTTCTGAGGTCGAAGAGGATGTTATGACTTTGCCGCAGGACAGGGAACACGGGAAGCACGCGGGTGGCAGTCCTTCGTGTGTTGTGCCTGTATACGCCCCGAAGGAGAGTGGCGAAGTGCCGGAAGCCAAGGCTGGGCTTTGAGGAGTGCCAGCGCGAAAGCCTCGGGTTTGCGCTTGAAGGCAGCCACCGTTGAGGAGGATTTGGGCTTGGATGCACCACTGGGTGGAAGCGAGGAGGAGTATGAAGACGACATCCAGGCCAGGCACAGCGGGCATCGGGAGCTCACGCACCCGTGCGATCATGCAAGATGGAAGCACCGGCCGGAAAAGTGTCGACCAAGCTGTCAAAGGAGGAGCAGCAAGACGACACGGAGGGCATGGAAGGCATGATAGTGCCAGCCAGCGGATCCGAGCAGCGACAGGCACTCTGCACTTGAGTCCTGAGTGCTTCTTCTAGCATGAGGTCAGTTGACCCCCGTTCGCTCAGGTCAACCCGGCTCTTCTCAGCGATGAGGAGCTGCTGAAGAATCCTCAGCATGTGTGGGCAGTCCTCGTTGTTGCCTGCCAACAACAAGGAGGAGTCCCCACGCTCTCATCGCTCCACCAAGCGGTACAGCCAAGCACCCATCACAAATGTGTGCTTGATGTTTCTTTCCTTGATGTGTCTTTCCAAGAAGTAGTTCCCACAGTCGATCCCAAGATGTGGAGTGACACTAAGCACCACGGCGGCTGCCAATGCCCAAGCCGCCCACGGAGGAGGATGACACATGCAAATGGGACAACGAGCACGGGTTAATGACATGTTGCCGGTGGGCAACCCATCACTGAAACAGAGAACAGTTCGCTGAAGGTGGGTTGTCCGCTTCTGACCAAAGCCCACAAAGGAGGCCTTCTCTGAAGCGGCGTTACGGAAGCGAGCAGAGCAGAGGCGCAGCTCTCAGATGGCCTTTCTTACCCTGCCATTGAACACTGAGACATCAGGCTGAAGCACTCCATGCAGCTGGCATCCATGAAACTTGGCGAACCTACCGGCTTCAGATGCAGAGGGATGCGAGATGTCATCAGCAGGCAGACCCCCAACAAATGGATATGTCTGCAGTCGCTCTCATCAACCTTTGCCCAGCTGTTTTTGATGTGTAAGAACAGAACTACTTGGTGTTCGGTCAACAGATGTCAACAGTGAGCCCCTTCCTCTTGCTTTGAGGAACATCCCATCTGTGCAACTTGGTTGCATGCCGAGCAGCTAGTGCAGCATCGCAAAGAGGCTGAGTGCGATCTGCCCCAGGACCAACTATCCCAAGCCGTTCGGCGGAAGAATCGAGCTTAGCTTGGACACCCTCTCGGCAGAGGCACTTGCATGTTCGCAATTTCACAAAGATGCAATTGAATTCTACCTTCAGCCCGTCACCTACAGAATCTCGACCCGTGCCGCCATCTCAATGCACTGTTTCCAGTAACTTTGGCTTCATTGAAGAAAAAATTGTGCAATCCCCGCAACCTCGTGAGGACCCAGCAACTTCAGAACCCCCACAGGCTCAGCGAAGCTTTCTGAGGGTGGCCCGCTTCGAGGCTGAAGCATGGCTCCGCCCGGTGCTTACAAAAAGTTGCTCCCAAAAGGCAAGGTCGCAAGGTTCCCAGCCTCCCACGCAGATATGACGCTTCTGTGAGTGGTGATAAGACTTTCTGCCGTGCTGATTGCATCGCATTACTCTAGCGACTAGCGACTATCAGTTCTTTCGAAGCTTTTGCACGCTCTCGTTGTGAATCGTTAACATCCGAACTTCTTACGGAACTCGGCTGTTCTTCCCAAGCCTTTGTTGATCTGTGCCTCCATGTTGGATGGAGCCGGAAACCGGCAAACGACAGACAGAAAGCTTAAGCCTGCAGGGGGGGAAGCAGACGGCCTTGCAATGCTCCCGGCAAGTTGTCCCTCAGGACAGCAGCAGCAAAGCTGTGAAGCGCAGGCGGTGGTTGATTGCTGAGGAATTTCAAGCGTTGAGGTGCATCTTGCAGACGCGTAGTACTGTACGAACTGCACGTCAGAAACCCGTGGCGAGATCCGTGTTTTTGCTGCAGCAATCTCTAAAGCGCCTTTGAATCACCAAGTGCTCGTCGGCAGGCTCGTGTCGCCAAGCGACAGGCCACAATCTGCTATGCAGCTCGGGAGACTCATCACACGGACCAGCTCGGCAGAAGCTCTTTTGGCATCTGCAGGAAAGGATTCTGGGCCAGATTGCGGAGTGGAGGGAGCGCAAAGACAAGGAGCCTTGAGTGACTTACGCAGATGGTCGCTCGTGCGACACCTCCTGCCCGAAGGAGGAACAAGAGGAGCGAAGGCGAGTCGAGGAGCCGGGAGCCCGGAGATGAAAAGCAACCTAATTCCAAAAAAGCGGAGCACTCGGGCTGATTGGAGGCTCGAGCGTCAGAACGAGGAGCGCGAGCAGAAGGAGAGAGAGCGATGGCGAAAGCTGGAGCCCCAGAGCGTGGGATCCATTAAGCTGGACTGCGCTGAGCTTGAAGATGTTTTGGTCATTTTGGCGCTAGCGGCTCACTCTCAGCTTCAGGACATCGTGGGCCTTTGTTGATCCTTCCACAGTCCAGGCGCGGTGAAGAACTCCGTCAGTGCCTCGCGGTGCGACCCTCGGGTGACACGGCTGGTGGTGCAGGGAAGAACAAATGTAATTGCTTTACTTGAAGCGCACTCGGTGAGAACATGTAGGGAAGAGCCTGCTCCATGGAAACCTTTTGTGTCCTTCCTCCTCAACACGAGCATCAGAGATGATGAGAGCCTACAATGGCCTACAAGCCCTGTACAAGCATAACGAGATCTCCATGACAGTCTCTAGACAGTCCCAGACATCTACCAGCCATCAGCATTTGGGCAAGCCAAATGACCTCCTCAATACGAGCCCAGCAGATCCTGAGATGACGCGTGCACCTCCGAAATGAAGTCATCCAAAACATGCATGGCAGTCTAACCCGACGACATTTGGGATGGCGCAGACGGTCAACGGGGAAGGTGCCTTTGGTCAAGAAGCGGTCTCGAAAGTCCACCGTGTGGCGAGTCAGACGTACGAGCGGCAGGGTACACATCATTTCGAGCCAGTTTTGTGGGAGAGTTTATGGGCCCCATGCAGTCTAAAGGTGTGACTCTTGCAGGTTGCACAGAGGACCTGGGCTGGATTGTCAGGCGATGTGCCTGTAGAGCCCGAGCATAGGGACCGGAGAAGTCTTGCGATGCCAAGCACCCGTAGCACTTGTAGCAGCACGAGGCCTGAGCATTGTCCTCCACAGGTGCACCTGCCGGGGCGCCTCCATGAGGCCCAGCGGCGAGGCCATCGGCATTGTCTATGTTTCGGTGGTGAATGCCGGCAGTAAGCACAGCACACTGGCCTCATTGCGTGCAACCTTTGATTGGGACGTAGTGATGACCAGCAATAAAGCTCTAGGCACTTTAGGCTTCTTCTCATAAGCCTGAACTCTGTCAAAGTGGCATGGTTGACATTCGTTTTGGTTTTGGTGCTTACTCTTTTGAAACTGTTGCGCTCCGGGATCGTCAGCGTGGTGCTTGGATGATGTGAAAAATGACAAGAAAGCCCCCCGAGCTGTCAAAGTCAGTTTCCGTACTTCTACGACGATGCAGCACGCGGACTCCCGTTTGAGTCAACAGCGGAGAAGAGAAGCGCCAGGCCGTGCTCTTGGAGGAGGAGGAAGCGTCGGAGGACTGCTTCAGAGCACAGCTGATGGCTTCAAATCGTGTCAAAGTCCGCATTCCAAAGCCTTTCGACCTTTCGACTCTTCCGGTCAGGACAGCGCTCCGTCTGAATTAGATGGAGACCCCGCAGACCTGCAGCAGATGTCGGAGGTCGAACGGCTGCTGAACAGCAAGCAGAGGTTCCCAAGCAGCCCATGCTATCACGACATCACGATAATGTTGGCCTCAAACTCGCCAGAACTGAAACGCGTTTCGTTCTAAGGCTGGAGGCCATGAACCAGTTCGCAGCACGTCGCAAAGCCGGCCTCGACAACACAGAGGACACGCGGAGCCGGAGCTCAGAAGTTAACGATTAGAGGTCGAACTTGAAAGACTTAATCATATCGTCATATCTTACTTCGGAGTCCTGACGTGTGCCAATGAAGTTACTGCTATCCCAAAGCTGCAGGGATGACAAAGGCCAGCGGCAGCTGCTTCCTTTAGATTCGTGCGCGGTGGATCCCAGCTGCAGGGACAGCAACACGATCAGGACTCTGTCGCCAAAGCTGCGGCAGATGCCTTTTCCCAAGGGGCTAAGCAGGTGGGCAGGCTGCTTTTGATGCCGATGGTGGAATTTTGTACAGGCAACATATTGAAAGATGCTTGGGGTGTTGAGTTTGGCATGGTTCTCGCACCCGATTCGCCAGGTGATGCTGCCCGCGAAAACGGAGTCGGAATTACCAGAGAGGCTGGCTTTCGATGGCAGTTGCTTACAGACCAGCCATGGTGACAGGTCCGGCTGGGTGAAGCGCATGGCAGAGAGTTTGGGCTTTCTTTCAAGCTGGGAATGGCGCTGGCTGGTGCTCAAGGCCCTACAGGGCATGCAGTTGAAGTGGTCAGTGTTCACATTCTAGCCGCTAGGACCTCTCAGAGAGCATACAATGTTCGTGGCACAAGAAGGGCTCGTTGAAAAGTATTTGTCAATCGCTGCTCCAGGACTGCCGGGCGGCGTGGTTTGAGGGTATCACAGCTGCACTTTGATTCCTGTTTCGTCGGTTTAATTTGCACTGACCCGCAGCAATTGCTGATGCCTTGCGAGTTCGGCACAAATATCTGCCGGACATGGTTTGCCCAGTCAGGTCCAGACAAGAGACGCTTGCATGGCCGGCTGGGCTGACTTTTGCCCGCTCCCGGAACAGTAGGAATTCCAAATCTCATTAGCAGGCCAGACCAGGCAGACTGGAAGTTCGCTCGGCGATGCTTGTGTTAGATGTAATTTGCATGAAGGGCTGATGTTGGTTTTCTTCTGCCGAGTTCTACCTCAGATGAAGATAGATGAAGCCATGGCCCTTAGTCAATCGCGCACGCGCACTCAGTCACGCCGCCACACGAGGGCCGCGGAAGAGCAACAAGCCAGTCATGCAGACGCAATCATCAAGATGCAATCTCCTGAGCCTGCAACCCGGAAAATCAAACTGCCAGGCGTGATTGATTTTGAGCTTGTGGATGTGGAGATCGAGCGGCTTTGGGATGATCCGTCGACCAGCGAAGCCTCACGCCATTCAGCTGAAACATGTTTAGGCATCTGCTTGGGGCCTTCATGGACTTCAGACCCCGAGCCCCAGAGTCAGCCTGTTGGACTTCGTGCGGAGCATTGCCTGAGGTAGCCAAGGCATCAGAAGAGGCAAGGATCGTGGGTGTCGGCACCGTGGCTACAAGTGCAAAGTGCAGCTGGGTTGGTCTTCTTAGGTCGTACTCAGGATATTTCGGGAGATTCCAGCACAGAGTCGCCACTACAGCTCATGAGTGTAATGAGCCTCTCCAGCTTCAAAGCATCCTGACAGATGCCGTCCCACCCAGGGCGGTTTGCATTTCCGGCCTTTTCAGCTCCGATGAAGCCTACTTCCGTCTTCTGCCGGTGGGGAGCAATCGGGCCTTCGAGTTTGGCACCACGGGCTGCAAGCTAGGTTCTCCAGGGCATGGGCGATGATCCAGGTGTTGTATATATGATTTATATATGATTATATGTGTATTCGCTGCAGCAAGGCTCGAGGCTCTAAGAGTGGCCTTGGTACGTGTCATGTAGCAGGTTCTGAAGGCCTCTAAGCGGGAGTGGTGGTGGCTTGGCAAAACAAGCCAGTCTCGATCCAGAAAGGGCACCGGAATACCGCGAATGCATCGAGGTGACAACCACGGCAACTACGGGTTGTTCGGTTAGTAAGACTATCAGTAGATTCTCAGTAGAAAGTAATGTGCCTCGGAAGTGCCATCCGAGGTGTCGCCACACGGAAGGAGGCTGGCTACTGGATTGACGATTTGGGCGCGCACCTGGAGGCGGATCCGTCGTTTCCAAGTGGGCCGGAGATACCTCCACGATTAAAGAGCAAGCTAACATGCAAGAATTACGGAGAGCAGTCTGGAAGAAAGTCCGAGGATGTAGACTTTGCAAGTTGGCAATAAGTTCGGAATGGGCCTTGCAATGCTCATCAAGTCGTCACTACGTGTATGGGCTGGCCTTCCTTTGCAGGAGGCAGATCGCCGCTGCGAGGGCCGACCACGACTAAGTGCTGAGAGGCCGGAGGTCACAGTCGAACAGCTCCAGGCAGGATCTTACTTAAATATTCGCTCCAGGCTGAACGCCTTCCAGCGCAGCCGCATCAAAAATGCATGGTGGATTCTGGCCAGCAGATGTCCACGCTCTTTCGTACGAGTATGGACCACTCTAGTGTAACGCCGAGAAGCTTGGAGAGTTTATGCAAGAGTGCAAAGGATGTGGTGGTGCCATGTTGGTGCAAGCTTTCAACCTGTGGAAGCAGCCGTTGCGAAGTTACTGGTGCATGCCGAACCGATTCTGCAGCAGATTCGGTCCCTGATAAGAGCCTAAGGAAAGTGAGTCGGATCTCACCGGAGACGTTCAAACATGTCGCGGCGGCTTGGCCTCCGTTGAGCCAGGCTGCACGAACCCTTGGCAGTGTGCATCAACCCAGAGAGCAGCAGCTTAGATAGCTGAGGAAACCGGCGATATTTTGCTTTTCAAGTCCAAGGGCACCTTCCCAAGGCGGCCGGAGCAGGAGTCTGGGAGCTTATATAGACGATCTCAGACGCTTGCAGCCATGAGGCTGATTCGCGCAGCTTCAGCTGGCACATCACGGCACAGTCGCTTCGATCACGTGGGCAGCATGGCAACCATGGGATGGCGGGCATGGAGATTAGAAGACCCGCTGCAGTACCTGCTGTTTTTGCTTTTTCGACCTACTACAGTACCTAGTATTGAGATGGCCGTTCACCGACTGAAGACTTCAGGAGTGTCCACCCTGCCACTTCCATCTTATGCCGCGCGATTTGGACAGCGTCCGAATCCTTTCGCCAAGGTCTCATCTTGAGGCTGGAAGGCGACACGATCGGCATCTTGGAAGCCACAGGCAGCATTGGTTACGTGGAAGGTCTTGCAAGGACTCTGTTGCAGAAGAGACGACTCAGTGCAGGCAACGAGGGAGTTGGATTGTGCACCTGGAGAACTTTCCTTGCCAATGGCTGGCAGACTCTCGGCGCATTCCTACACTTACAGCCTGGACAGGACTTCTTTAGACCAGTATTTGCACATCCTTGCCTGGCAGAGCCGAGTGTGTGGCCACAACACGTTGTGAGCCCTCTGCGGTAGGTGGCCACACTGCTCATTCAGAATTGACACAGCATGGGCCAGATCTTAGGAACTTGTATCCGGAACTGGCTTTGCGACGCAACGTGGCAGCACACGCAATGCTTGCTTAGCTTGGTTCCGTTGTGGACGATCATAATTTTTCGATCGAAAACGCATAGCACTCCCTTGATCGCCGAGGCGTGCGATGCCCACGAAGTGCTGAGGCACTGTCTACGCTCCAGGCCACGAGCAGGTACTAAAATACAGCGCAACGTAGCAGAGGTCACATCGGTAGTTCAGTTTCACGAGAAGTTTCCCCCCCAGGCTAATTAGGTTAATTACTGAGCGAGGCAGTGTTTTGTTCTTTGGACCTCGCCAGTTGGGTATCACGAAGTGGTCGGGACGGAACGATGTCCTTCGAAGCTGTTCCGAGGAGTGGGTCGGCGAGGTCATCGGCAAGCCATATAACCTCTCGGCCGCTTGACACTCCGAGATAATAACTTGGCAGCGTGCATTCTCGATTCCTCCTGGTCAGATGAGATGTGCTGTCGACTCAGGTGAGCAAGCTACGACACCGAGGCTCGACCGGCGGCGGACAGCAGGACTCCAGAGCAGCATCCATGCGGTGCAGTGCAGTCCTTTGAAATGCTCATCTCCGCTCACTTCCAGGACTTCTTCTGCTCACAGCTGGTGGCTGAAGCACTGAAAGTTCTCGGTGTTATTCCAAGAGGTGCCATTTGGGGGGATCTCCGCCACAGAAGACATCAGTGCTGTGCGTCGCTCCCAGTTTGTGTTGCGCCAGGCCAGAAGGACTCTGCAGAGTTCTGGCCCTCGTCATTTTCTGCCAGGAGACATGGCACTGTTGTGCTCTGCTGCTGAAATCCTGTGCAAAACGAGCAGACACCGAGGAGCTCACCAATACCTTGCTCACCCGGATGCAGTTTCGATCCTGAGGATTTGACGATTGCTGCCTGGATTGCCTGGCAGGGAAGTTTGCAGAGTTCAATGTTGCGGCACGTAAGACTAGGTTACCGAATCACGAGCTCCAGGCCGTTGTGAGGTCGTGGATGCTGTGAACAGTCAGCCGAGGATTTCAGTTTGAGCAGTCAGACAGCCACTGAAAGTGGTGGATCTGCCAAGCGTGATGCAACCGATGCTTGGCTCCATTCGGCGTGAAAGCGGTCGGATTTGGAATGCTTGTTATCTCACACCTGCGAGATGCCGAGGTAAGTCTGTGGTGAGAGGCAGAGACCCCATCGGCTGAAAAACTGGAAGCTGCTTGCGGTGTAGACACTGCCCACACCGACAGTCAAGTCGGTCTGAAATGTGCCCAGCAAAGACCCGTCGATTCCTGCACATTTGCTTGGATCGAGCCCTGAGTTTTCCGCTGTTTCTGCGAGAGCAGTTCCAGCCTTTGGTGCTCCCAAGGAAGTGCAGCAACGTATCGGGCATCGGTTTTCTTTCGGAGCCTTCCAGATCCTAGAGCCGTCGCGGGAACGGTTGCAAAACAAGCTCCGAAGCAGATTCGTGCTCCACTGCGTTCAGAAGGCAGACAGAGCCAACAGAGACCGCTCAGGACTGGGCAGCCGAAAAGAGCCAGCAGGAGCTGGAGAGGTCCCAGGCCAAAGCACAGACTGCCTTCTGACGATTCGGTTGGCCTTCATGGTGCAAAGCGCAAGGCTGCCGAGAAAGCTCAGAAAGAGGAGGAAGAGAAAAGGCAAAGCTTCGCGTCAAAGTCCGCAGGTTTTGCTTTCAGATCCCGCAGGCGGCAAAAGGAGCAGAGATATCGGGAGAAGCAGCGGGAGCTGCTCCTGGAATGGCCACAGCGCTCAGCAATTCTCAAGGTTTGTAGAGAGGCCTGTCCTGTTGTTGTTTCGCGTCAGTATGTATCGTGGAGGAACCGCCAAAAGATGGACAAGCTGGAAGAGCAGAGGCTCGCGGAGCAAATGGAAGAAGAGAAGGAGGTGCCCACGGCACTTACGTCAGACTGGTTGAATCTTGTTGACTTGTGGCTGCCGCCCTTTTGCTGTTGCTGCACGGTGTTGATCAGACGCAGGCTGCAGAAGCGGCAAAGAAACAGAGCAGCGACCCCAGCGGCATTCGTAACATTGGCGCAGAGGACCCTGGCTGCTTGGCCTGCGTTGCCCGCATACTTTGCTACACGAGGTGATGCATTAAGAGGGCGTGGAGGTCTCAGCTGAAGACACCGCACTCCAGCGTGGCTGTGTCGCTGTTTTTGGAGGCTCAAGAGGGCCCAGATTGCTCGGCTTTGTTGCTGCTGCCACTTTCCGATGTGCGGTGTCGTTGGTTTTGTTCGGTACTGTAGGTGGTGTCAACTAAACCACCAGCTGACCGGCCATCATGCCCTCCGAAAGAGCGACACAAACGCTCCCTTCGTCGAGTCATGCTACACCGCTGACTGCCGCAGCCGGTTTTGGAACAAAATGCGAGCAGAAGGATTCAGCTCGGGATGAACTGATGCAGCTCACATCACTGTCCTTAAGTTGCTTGCAGAAACAAGCAGCCTGTAGCCTACACTAAAGCACTGTCTTGCAATTGGCACATCAAAAACAACTGGACAACAAGATCAGGGGAGCTTCCGACAACCCGAAGCACAGTAATGCCACACTTCGGGACCACGGTATCAATAAGTGAGGGGCAGCATGCCGAACATGGCCATCTCTGCACCTCGGACGGGGAGTCATTTAGGCTTTGCGGGAGGGGTTTCGGGGCGAGGTTGAGCTAAAGAGGGCCTGGCTTCCTTGCGAAACATGACATGCGAGCGGCTAGCGGAAGGGAGCACGTTCTCACTGGCTGTGAGGCCCGATGCAGGGCCAGGCACTGCCTGCTGGCATCACTATGCCTGTCGGAGTCTTGAAGCTCACTGACACTGGTGCCGCTGCACGATGCCACGTAACGTTGACGCTTTGACAAGAATAAGCTCAGGCATGCACGAGTGTGGTCTGTTCTTTCACCATCTGTTGCGAAGCCGTTCCGGCAACAGGCTTGCCATAATATGCCCATGATTCATGCCAAATTTCTTCTGTTGCCATGGCCACGGCCGGGATGGCTACTCGCTGCGACCCTCCGAGGGTGCAACGAACTGTGCAAAGCGTGACCGGTGCTTCCCCATGTGGGTGATCCACGCAGATGACGTCTTGGAGCTAAGCGAACTGCAACCTCACCAGCAGCTGCTTGCAGCTGGAAAGTTGCAAGAGTACGAGCATGGCTTCGTGACTTTCGTGTCGCACGAGTGGTCGGGCGTGGACCACCCGGATCCGGAAAATCATCAGCTCCGATCCCTGCAGCGGATGCTACACGCCATCCGAAAGAACAAGATGACCCTGGCCCGTGGCTCAGACTCTCGGTTTGAGATGAGATGAAAGGAGATTCTGGGTCACTTGAGCACAGGCAAGCGACACGATCTCCTTGGTCCGGTTGGGACTTACCCGCAGCGTATCAACTAAAGACCTCAAGAAGATCTCTCGAGGCCACAGAGATTCTCAAAGCCTTAGAGTAGCCTTTTGCTGGTGCAAGGAAAACCTGAGACCAGGCTGGCTTTGGATCGACTTCGCCTGCGTTCCACAAGCATGTTGCTGCAAAAATGCAGACGAGCTGGCAGAACAGCAGAGACAGCTGAAGGCGTGCTTCCATCGAGGATTATAGCTATTCAGGCTTTGCAATGTCTCAGAGTGTAGGCTTCTCGTACTGACTCAGATTGAGGACAGAGGTGTGAGAGTTACGCTTAGGCCGCTTAGGCTTCACTTATGATCTGCAGGTTTCTAGCTGCACGCCGTTTGCGAGCCGACATTTGCAAGAAGGTCCGAACCTTTCCAGGATGCCGTCATGAGTCTGCACACGTACGTCGCCCAAAGCTCCTTCTTCGCTGTGCTGGCGCCAGCACAGAACCACGAGAATGGGAGGTGCATTCACTCAAGTTTGCTTTTGGCATGCGAGTTAGAACATCCACGGACCGACAATTGCATGTACTACTTCATGATGCCCGCAAAGTGTTCGGGCCAACCTGTTCAACAGGGCCCCGGAACACGTTGGGATTTAGCATGCAATGCAGAGGCAAAGCAGTCTTCTTTCCTGTTAAGTTTCAGCCCAAGTAGTGCTAGCAGGCGGGCAGCAGTTGCATGATGTTGCGTTGCAATTGAGCTGTTTCATTGCCCAAGTGGAAGCAAGACGACAGTGCACCGCTGCACCGAACGGGAGGCAACATTCCCGCAAAAACACTGTGCTACAGGCTGATGAACTACATGTCCTGGAAGCGAAGAGGCGCAATCCTTTTTGGGAAGAACAGGTGGTGTCTAGAGCATGGCCGGAAGCAAAAGGTTGGTGCCAATTCGAGCTCGCGGTCAACGTTCTGCTTGGAGTCTTGGCATCACATGCTCCCCAGCCTGCAGTACTGGAACATGGTTGGATCGCAAGCAGGCGTCCTCTGCGCCAAGATTAAACGAGGATGGGATGGGTCATCACATCACAGCATGAACGCGTAGGCTTGCCAGGAGTCATGCGGAGTTTCTTGGACAACATTTTCGCAGTGAAGCCAAGGAACAAATCCTGTGCTGCACATTGCCAGCGAGAATATTGCAAGGCACATGCATGTAAAAGCCGCCTGTCGAAGTTGACAGATGGAGATCAAGGGCACACATCCGTGCAAGAACATGTGCACGAAAGCGTGATGGAGCATTGGAGTACGAGTGGGCCCATGGGTCATTTTTCGTCTCCCAAGCTGCACCGCTTGCCCTTTGACATGTTAAGGTTCTCAGTCATCTGTCCCCGTGTTGCGGGGATTTCACTCGAGAAGAAGATCGACAGCCGCTGGGAACGGAGATGACTGCCACCTCCGTCGTTTCTAGAGGGAGCGAAACAACGCAGCTTCTAAGGTTTGTTGGTGAGGCTTTAAGTCATGTGCCTTGCTTGCAGGGTCAGCTTTCCCCTGTACTGTGCCCAAAAGTTGTTCGTGCTGTAGTGCGCATGGTCCGAGCGCAATCAGGTCATCGACTGTCTCGCAAGCGACCTCCGTGCCACTCACAATCTACACAAACTCCAACTGTTGGATTGTATGCGGACGAAACTGCTCCAATGTCCACATGGAAGCCCTGAAGACAACTCCTCCAAGGTGAATGCGGCACTAAGTTCGAGGACCACATTTTTCCACAGTATGCCCCAGAGGCTAAACAGTGGCTGGACACATTTACATTATGCCGTGGCCCGGAACGACCTTTACATGATTAAGAACTTACTCAAGGCAAGGGCGAACGTGAACACCAAGACGCTAGGGGCTGACAAGGATTTCTTTTTGCGTCCAGCGCTATCGCCCCTGCACATATGGCCGCTCGGAAGAGAACGAGCACCTGTTTGTTTGCCAGACCTAGTCAGACTCTGCGAGTCTCGCTTTGATTTCATGTTGTGCTGCTTGACCAGGTCCTGTTTCGCCATTAGCCCTGCCATTGCTGAAATTCTAGTGGAACATCGTGCGAACGTCGACAGCACGGCTGACTTCGGCTGGACGCCACTCATGCTGAGCTGTCATCAAGGAGAGTTGCGTGCAGTGTTGCAGATCTCAGCCTGGCCCATCCCGACTTGAGCCAGGAGGCGAACTTGCTTGCCGGACACTACTGGATCTGAAAGCAAACCCGAATTCGAAGCATGGCTCTGTGCATCTTGGCTTTGTTTGGAGCATGGGGGCAGTGGCTAGGGACCTTGAAACATGACCTTAGAGCAGTCGCTTCGGGGACTGGTTACAAAGGTGGTGCTTTCGAGATCACAGTGGTTATACTAGGGATAGAGAACAGGGATTGGCCACCGAACTCAAGCCATGAGGGTCTTTATGTAGGATGAGAGCTAAGACCACTTCCTCTTGAGAAAAGGGGCTCCCTTGCTTGCAAGTACCCGTCCTTCCAAAAGCAAGCTCGAACCGCTTCAAAAGCTCCGCTGTCGCAGGATTCCCCCGCTCTTCCTTGCAGCTTCGGAAGATCAGCTGTCGGTGGTCGAGCTCCTCCTGGAAGCCCGAGCCGACGTGAATGTTCGGTGGGCCGGCATGAGCGGCTTCACTGCAACGTCCATCAACTCGAATCAAACCTGACACTGTAGCTCCCACGGTCCCTGTAGAGCTTGCGCAGAATGACCCAGTAAGGGCCTTCAAGGCATCGAAAGAGAAGCGCATCTCACGGAAATCCCCAGTCGGATCCTAGAGCTGCCCAAGTTCAAGTCACAGCCATAGGGGTTTTCAAACCTTGCGTCGTGCAGAGGGTCCCGAGACGCAGTGTTGGCACTGTGATGTGAGGGCCTTCGGTTTCGCGGCTAATTAACCGAAAGCTGGTCCTCAGTGTTCAAACAAGATTCTTGCTTTAGGTGCGTTGCACGTGATGGCTGCAATGAGCACCGCCGTGACTTTGCCGTCCTGCGCCCAGCAAAGTTGCATGCTGACACGGCCTGAGCATGCTTGTGGATTTTCGCGGGACATGAACCCAAGGTGCGAAATTCAAACCCAAGTAATGCTAGACACGCCAGTACCGGGGCCCCATGAAACAACGGGATGGAGTTCGTGCTGTCATTCCGAAAATAAGCTGAAGCCCATTGCTTTCACCGAGGCGTTTGCTGCAAGCTGGGTTGGATCTCAACGAGCCCTGCAATGTCAAGTTTCGCACCTCGGCAGCCGCCTGCTTGCTTGCGTAGAGACAATCCTGGCTGCAAGCCTGCATCTGCTTCTAAGAGATTCTATACGGCAGATAGGTCAGCTAGTCAGCTAGGCCCAACTTGGATTCGAAAGATCTCGGTCACCTGCCATAGATGGCCAGGCCCAAGGCAGATGCACCTCACCTGTGTCCCAGGAACCCGCTCTGGCTTTCTCATGGCCTTCAGCGCCTTGGCCATTGAACCGGATCTAGCAGACGGAAGGTCCATGCCCATTCCGCGAGAACCGGAAGTATCAGATGCTGATGACAGATGATGTGTGTTTCAGAGCCGAGCCACTGCCGACAGATGAGGCGCTCTTTGGGACCGTGACGTGCGCCGCGACATGCCCAAAGTACGTGGGGGCACACCACTTGTCTTCGCAGCGGCGCGGGGGAACTCAGCGGCGCTCACGGTGTCCCCTGGACAAATCCCGCCAGTCTCAAGCTCTGAAGCTGAAAGGCTGAGGCTCTGTGGACATGTTTGCATATCTTGAATGGAAGGTTGCTGGAAGCTGGCGCGGACATCACGATTCCAAACCGGCAGGGCAAGCTGGTGCAAGAAGTGCCGCTTTGCGTCGATGGCGTTTGTAATGACGGTTTGGAGGATCGGGAGGTGCGATGCTGGTACGATATGCCGCCGCAGAACAAGTCAAAAAGCGGACATAAGGCGACAGAGAATGGTGGAAGTTGAAACAGTTTCATTGCATCCCATGACGTGTGATCTGCAAGTGCTCAGGTACGAAGAATCCAAATTTAATTCACTCATGCCTGAGGAGGTATGCATCAAACTATCGTCTCACAATTCAAACAAGCTCTAGGCGCGATGTGTTCCTTGAACCTTTTCCCGGCATGAGCTGCAAACCCTTGGGGGAAGCCGATCGAACACGAACGAGTCCCATAAAAGACAGATGCGGAGCTCATGTCGGATGCTGGTCTCAAGGCTGTCTAGGAGGCTGCAGGCTCTCAGACGAAGTAGCCACCTCGAGCGTCCAGCCATTTGGATCGTGCATAGCACCTTCCATTGAACAATTGGTTGTGAAAGTGAAGGTTGCACAATCATAAGTTGCTTCGCCACACCGAGAATGCAGGATACGGGGGTTGCAGTGTCCTGCCTCTGCATGCTGGACCTGTTCATTCAGTGTGGTCAGGATGGCGAAATTGAGTCTCAAGGGTATGCCAAATTTTCGAACTTTTAGGACGCCCAGGGCCAACTCTCAGCGTCTCAGCTGGTACAGAAGCCTTCTGCTTGGCAAGAGGCTCGTAGCCGGCTACGGCAACACAGTTTCCCCGGCCGACTTAAGGAGTGTGAACGAGAGAGGAGGGGAAGACGTCTGGCCTTGAGCAATGGCTCGGGCTCCAACAGAAACTTCGGCACATTTCGGCGTTTGTTGGCGGCACCCTGCCGAACGGGCAGAGCCACTTCCAGGACCGGCTGAATAAAACACCCTTGGCTCCCGGGTTCGTTTAAGCGCAGCGATTGAGATGGATCGGGTTTGAGGCGCGTCCTTGACGAGGATTCAGGGATTTCCGAGGAGCCAGCGATAGCCTGACGGTCAAATCGCGGCTTTTCCCAATGTGGGTAATCAGCGTCGACAACTTCCTAGAGCTGGATGCAGCTGGGCACGCTTCAGTGCGAGTCAACATGGCATCTGCGACAACTCAAAAGACCACACTTCATGTCGCATCTCTGCATTTTCGCTTTTTAGGCGATCAGACAAGCTGAGGAGCTGCGGCCTCATCAGGAGCTGCTGGCGGCTGGAAAGCTGTGCGAGTACGAACGCGGGACCCCAGCAATGGCTATTCTAGCGGGGGCCATTGCAAGAACGGATCGGTTCAGAATTAGGCTATATAGTTATGACCCTAGTTTAGCTTGGCCTGCCTTGGAAACCGGATGAGGCTTCCTGCCTTGACTCTTCAGGACAGGCTTTGTCACTTTCGTCTCCCACCAGTGGTCTAGCTCCTCACACCCAGACCCAAGCCGGATCCTTGACTTCAGAAGTGGGGTGGGGAGTCCGCGAAGGCGGGCCGGTCTATCATTGAAACTACATCACAAACTCGGCCATTCGCCGAGGATTCAACTTCTTTCTTTGCAGACAGCCCTGCGCAACATGCGCTCCGGGCGGATGCAGCTGTCTCAGGATGGTGTTGCTTTCGTCAGAGGCAACCTGAAGCGCAGAATGTGCCCAGATGACCTGAAGCTTGCCTGCGGCCTAAGATTCGCAAGGACATGCATTCCAGCGTGCTGTTGACCCCAATTGAGATTCGATGTTGCATGCTGTGAGGAAAGCCGTCGCGAGTGGTTGGCTCTGGATTGACTACAGCTCCATCCCTCAAGTTGGCCTTCATAGCTTGGGCTTGGATCGATCTCAGCTTGACGGCGAATTTACGTGACTCATTTGAGTATTTTTGCGTCGTCTACCCCCTTAACAGTTAACACGTCTGAGCTCCCGAGGAACGCGGTAATGAGTTTGCACACATACGTCGCAGACAGCTCGTTCTTCGTCATTCTTGCTCCAAGCAACCAGGAAGCAGCTCATCATGCCAGCTGACACCTTGCAGAGCCTTGAGAAACGTGAGCAACGACCCAGGTCAGCACCACGAGAAGGGCCATTTGATGAGCTACGGCTCTTGGAAATCACGAGGTGGGAAGCAGCAGGATATGGGTGCACACAAACATTGGACGGACATTTTTTGAAGGAAAGAGCACTCAACTTCACGAAGAGGGGCTCCTTGAAGATCAGTGACCCATTCAAGCATCGGCACTAGTTCGACTCACATGGCTTGTCCGAGAGCAAGCATCTACACGATACAATTCCCGGAGAGTTGTTTCATGGGGCTTCAATTTGAGGTTGCTGTACCGATGTACTCCCGAATGCGCAGCAGAAGGGTCCTCGTTTTTGCTGCATGGGGATCTGGGGTTGCGGAATCGACGCGAAGGGAATACCTGCTCACTCGTGCTGTCATATGGACTCATGGTTCCCATCAGACTTAGCACAGCTTCTTTTTGCACCAGTGTGTGCTTTCTCGCCGGCGAGGTTGGTGCCAGTTTGAGCTGGCGGTGAATATTCTTCTGGGCACGAAGCCCGTCCTGCTGATCTCCAGTGAGACAGCGGTGAAACACCTTTGCTTCCGCATGTTTTACCACCTCGCACCTTGCTGCGCCGAATTTACCAAAGAGTCTGATCGACACCACATCGCTGCAGCCATGCAGCAGGTGGTAGAAATCCAAGCTGAGGAGCACAGGATTTCAGGTCGCAGCCATGAGTCACAAATGCTCGAATGCTTGCGGAGCAAGCTTCTGCGGTTCCCGACTGGTTCATCTGATCCAAGCTGTCAAGCTCCCGGGCTGCGGAGAGTTGCAAGAACGCGCTCGTTCCTCAACTTGCCGGAGCCTCAGACATCACTTGGTGCACAAGTGTAGTAAGTAGGCATCATGAAGAGGATGCAGACGAATCAAACGATTCGTCACGGATTGGATCCAGTGGCAAGAAATGGTGGCACGTGCTGAGTAACACATCGAACATGCGAATCTTGCGGTGATAAGGACGGACTCCCACAATGGGTGGACCGACCTCCCCTATGCAGTGGCAAGGAGTAGTGAAGAAATTGTGGCCAAGCTATTGGCAATGCGCGCGGACATACATGCCCAAACACGTAGTCCGGAGGTTGACTTCTTCTTGCGGGGTGGTTTGACACCACTGCACATTTGGACATGCTTCTCGACTTCTGTGCCCATCGCCGAGCTTTTGATAGGCGCACAGGCTGACGTGAACTTTCCAGCCCAGCGAAGGTGGACTCCTTTGATGGTTGCCTGCGAAGTCGGGAACGAGCTGGTCGTGCGCACACTCCTCCGATTACGGGCAGACCCAAATGGCCAGACCCGTTTAAGCACTCGTCCATTGAGCGTGGCGGTTTGCTACGACTTTCCGAGCCTTGTTGATCCTCTCTTGGAGGCCAGAGCCGATCCGTTCTATGAATGGGCTGGAATTGGCACTCTCCACCAACTTGGTGCTGCGGGATCTGGAGGATCTCTCCATCGACTGCTAAGAGAAGGACTCGATCTCAATTCGAGGGCATACTTCAACCTGAGCTCCAAAGCTGGTGTTGCTCATTTTCTGTACCGCTTGTGGGACCGCGACATACATCGCGACTATCAACTTATGCAGGGGGGCACACCTCTCGTTTTCGCTGCGGCTCGTGGTAATTGCGAAGCGTTGCAGGCTTTACTAGAAGCACAGGCAAACATTCACATCCCGAACGCGTGGGGGAAGACGGCCTACCAGATCAGCGCACAAACAGGAAGCTCTTCTGAAATGTGTCGGACAGATTCCCTGAAGTCAGGGAGTGCCACAGGCACCGCTGCTTTGCCAGGCGAACATAAAGTACTTGTGGCAGCAACTTCAGGCTTAAGAAGCACGGATTGCCTGGGCCCCACTCCCGGTCCAGCATCGACCATCCTAGAGGAAACTCAGCCAAGAAGTGACATGGGTTGAGGTTCGAGTGGCAACTTCTCATTCCCCGCATGCTTTGATCCAAGCTCCCTTGCCTTTCAACAAGGCGTTCCAGATGAAGTTCTACGGCTTTTGAGATCGCCAGCAGAGGCGGCGGCATGACGTGCTCCCATGGGAGAGACCTGAGTCCCGACGAATATTTGTGTGCGCCGTGTGGGCTGGGCAGCTTTCTCACCCTTTCCTCCCTCTGCTGGTCCCGAATACCGTAGACTGGCGGGATGGGCAGCTGATTCTCTTCACTTGTCCCACCGGCCACTCGTGCTTCTTCTTCCGGAGCAGAGGCCTAAATCAGGCAACTGGTCCTTTTTGGAGCGAAGCTTGAACACGTTCTTGTCGAGTGCTTGCTGAGAGGTGCCTGTAGGACTTACATGTCGCCCCGAGAAGGTGCACGGCGAGTGCAAAATACACGCAGCACCAGGTTGCTTTGGCTTTGCCTGTTGAGCGCAGATGATGCGTACGAAGCAGCTTCACTTCTTCTGCCTTCCAAGTCCACCAGTTCCCTGCGCTTGAAAGAGAGACTTCCGCCACGAAGATGAAACTGTTGCACCCATGGTCCCCATTCCTCCTTTTCATGGCGGCTGGAACCGCGTTCAACAAGACTTCCAAGGTCAAGCTTGCCTTTGTCGCACGGCTTCTTCGAAGAGCTGTTCGGAGGCGCCAGTGCTTTTCGCTTTGATTGTACACCGTTACAAGGCTGGTACATGCAAGCTGCTGCAAGCGGACAGTTCGGAAGTCCGGAGGCGCTCAGAACATGCATTTCGAGATGGGCGGAGGAGGCCGCGAGCCGTTCGCCTTTTTTCCCACAGTCCGTCGGCTCTCTGGCAGGCCGCAGACAGCAGCCTGTGCAATGGCCGCAGGGCGTATCAGATGAGGCCATTACCGATTCTTTGCAAGTCCTGCACTTGCGGATGGATTCCTCACACCCCTACACGCTTGGCCGCTTGGAGTCTTCGAAGGCCGGCTCATAGGATAGGCAGATGGGTAGCCACCCCTGCAAGGTCTCGAAGACAATGTCGTGGCTAAAGGGCACGGAAGCTTGTTCGCACCATGTTGCACCTCTGTGGCCGTGTTGCCCTGCTTGCTCGCATGCTAGAAGGCCATAACTCGTGTCTCTTGCAAAGGAGTGGGCCTGGAACAACGATGGCTTCACCATCAAGTTAACTCGCGATGGAGACATCGAGGCACCCATCCAGCAGCATCTTTGCTTGCAGTATGTCCAACCACCTGGCGACGCCATGCGAAGCCCCCGAAACCACGACTCAGAAGCAGTAAGGATTTGGAACCCCTGGCACTGAGGTGCCAGCGTGGCTGCAAATGGACTGCCGAGAAGGGCAAGCTGTACCTGTCCGTTGGCAATGCAGGGATCTTCGAGCCTCGTGGCCCAAATGCCTTGCTGGCTGTATCCGTACATCCCGAACCTCAGGAGCATTTGCCGATATCTTGGCAATCCAAGCCACCGAAACACGGAGAACCAACAGGAACAACATCGAATCGAATCTGAAATCCGGGTAGGTGTGTCTCCTAACCTCCGGTGCTTGAGGAGTTGCGCACGCACGGTTGAAAAAACATGCCTCAGCCGTTCAGATGACCTTGGCTGTGACATGTCTTGCGTTTACAACTACAGCTGTTTGACCAACCGCTAGACAAAACTGTCTGACATGCGGCCAGTGCAGCGAGTCTCGGCTGAAGTGTGGCCCCGTACAGCGCCATGATGCTAAAGGTAACCCGATATTGTAGCTGAAGACATTTGGCAGTTTTCCTGAAGACGACTCTGCTCGATCATGGCTAGCATGGCTTCTCAGGTTAGTTGCGCCTGCCTCTTGGCTGCACATCTGATACCCTCGTCACATGAAGGCTAGACTAGACAAATTGCCATAATTATGGTGTGTCGGATGTCAGGAAAATACCTCACCGGTTGATTGTGCAGATGTGATTCGGTTTCTCCTAAGCGCAAAAACGAGGACCCGAAGCCGTCCCGGCTTGAGGGCCAGCGGCTGAAAGGCCTGCACCTCATGCAGTGGGCAATAACAGCCTCAGCCACTGTGCTGCTACTAGCCGGTGTTACCCCTGCACACACACACACACCCGCTTTGCCTGAGCGAAACTCGATTCTTGCAGGGAAATGTGGGCTTGAGGAGTGAGGTGCATGCTCTCTCTCTTGCTAGTGACGAAGGACTCCCTTCCACTGCTTTTCCTGTTTCCTTGCTAGCCGTGGAGTCGTTCGATCCTGTGGTGAACCCCGTTCAGACACAAGCAGGCCTTGTCACAGTCTGTCAGGAGGAGGGCAAAACAAGCTCGGAAATGTCGAGGTCACAGGAGAAAGGGGCCATGTCATTCCCAAAGTCTTGGTTAATTAGGAGTGAGACAGAGGGAAGAAGAGGAGGAAGAATGGGGCATGTGCAGTGGTTGCGATGACAACGACAAAAGCTTTCGGGCCCGCAATGGCTCCTAGATGCTACAAGGGGTTGACCTAAGTCCTAACGTCTTGTGGAAGTCGTTGCGTGCACGCGTGGACAAGAGGGAACTGATGATCACTGCCACTACTGCTACTACGAGGGGAGGGTTTAACTCGCATGTTGTTGAGGAAATACACATCTTTCAATGTCAACATTGGGGTTAAGCAATCCGGGCCCGGCCTGGCATACATCCAGACATCAACCGTTGCAGCGTCCACACTGCGGTTGCACATGTCGGAGCCCGGCCTGGCATGCATCCAAGAATCAAACGTTTCAGCGTACACATCGGGGCCCTGCCTTGCATACATGGAAACATCAAACGGTGCAGCGTCCACACTGGGGTTGTGCATGCCGGAGAATATTCAGAAACCCAGGCCGGATAACAGGTTTCCTTGTTACGTAAGCCTGCTATGCAAAGGGGGTCTCGGTCAGCCTGATCGCCGCTGAACACTCCCACTGGCATTACCAACTTGTTAGCTGGTCCTGACCTTCGAATCCAACCGGGCCCCTAAACCATATCCAGGAGTTCACCCCGAGCCACGGCACCGCTGCAAGCCTTGGTGAGGACCCTTAACCGTGCACCTTAAGCCCTGAAACCCCAAGCCTGAATGTTGAAAACTTCTACGTACTCTTGAAGCCCTCAGTGCTCCTGCTTCTGAAGGCGCGCGTGTCAATGGAGATTCTCGTGTTTCACATGTCATAATCTACGAAAAGCTTGCAGCTTTCCAGCGCATGGGCCTGATTTCACTGATTGCTGTTGTTTTGAAGCTTCGCCCGAACAGGCTTGCAACGTCGCATGTCAATGGGGACTCCCTAGATACACATTCTGTGTGCAATGACTTCTCGGCCCCTGCCGCGACTTCACTTTATGCATCCCTTGCAGTGCCGCGACTTGTTGAACGCTGCCCCGACATAAGTCTACCGCTTGTAGATGATTTCCGGGTCTGGGTGCGCAGGCAACTCCAAGCGAAATCCGCGAGAGCATCTTGGACAAATTTAGGAGCGGAACTGCCTAGACCTAGATCTGTGGCAAAAAGTCTGCCCTCGTACTCCAACTTGTTCATTGCAGGCGCCCAATCACTGTTTTGCTTGCTGCTATGGCAGGCGCTTGACGCTGACATTCAATCGGATATTTGACCACGAAGCTGTCGACTTGGACAAGGAGTCAATGGTTTGCCATTCTTCGTCAAGGGCCTATGCCAGGCATCAGTTTGTTGACATGTGGCGACTGCAGAGGATTTGTACGAAGTCCTCGGCCTTGCCGAAGATGCTGATGAGGCGAGCATCAAGAAGGCCTAGCGTATGGTCTGCATGGGAAAAGCACTGAAAGGCTTCGCAATATCTCTGGGTTTAGTTCATTGTATCACGGCAGGTGTATCGCAAGCTCTCGATTCAGCAGCCTGCCTGCAGGGAAAGCGTGGTACATCGGGTTTTGAAGCCATGTGCCAAACAAATCTCTGCTAAATTGAGGTATCACCCTGACAAGAATCCAGACGAGGCGTCCAAAGCCAAGTTCGCCGAGATCCGACCCTGGTTGCAATGATCACCTCCCAAACCGTCGGTTGCAAGGGCATCCTCACGCATCACGATATAGCAGACAGTCGACCTTTCCACGGCATCCGTAAGTCTCCTCATTTGGCTGTCTTTCTTGCTTCGGGCCCTGCTTCAGTAGAAGACTGCAAGCGACCTGTGAGGAGATGCGTACGAGGTCCTCAACGATCCTGACAAGAAGATCTTGTACGATACAGGCAGCGAAAAGGAAAAGCACAACTCGTTTACTTGGATCGGACCTACACCATCTCATCAACTGACCCTTGAAGCCTCAAAGTCTCTGCTTGCGACGCTGTGCATTTCATGGAGGTGGCATGGCGGCCGTCAAGGACTCCGAGAAGGGCAAGGTAGAGTCAACCAGTGACGTCAACTCCGCGACTTGGAGCGTCGTTTTGGCGGGATAGTTGATTCCGGGCCGGGAAGCCTCAACAGGATTACACTCGTCCAGAGGAGGGTACATCCGTCTCTACTCGGCCATCTTTCGAGAATACCAGCCCATGTCAGCACCGTATCCTTGACGAGAACCCAAGCTTTCCCTAATCTACCCCATGGAGATCAGCAGCTGCATCGCATTTCATTGTCTGGCTCAGGAAATTGAGGTGGGCCTAGAAGATCTCTACTTAGGCACCGAGTTCCGCGCCACGGCCACTCGCACTTATGTTCTGCGTTGTTTCGAGATCACAGATTGCCCAGCACAGCACAGCTCGACCAGAGTGTGTCGTGAGGTGAAGCGAGGAGTCGCCACTGGCTGAGAACGTGAGACTCGTTGTGACATGGGTGTGGAATCGGGCGATTCGAGTTGCGAGCATGCACTGCTACTCGACCACTGAACCCGGCCTGCCTTTCCCAAGGTTTGCAGAGGTTGCCGGAAGAACCCCAACTCCCCCAACTGCAAGGCCGCTGTTGTTCCTGTTGTGTTCCGTTTCTACTCCACTCCAGGTTTGCACTAGCCTACAAACCCTCCGGACGGATCTTGAAGCGCTTCTCACGGCTGCACCCTCCACGACGACATCTTCTTTCCAGAAGCCTGAATGTACCACCGACCTGTCGCAGGGCTGTCGGAAATGTAAGAACCAGATCAAGGCCCGTCTGAATCGCATGGCTGCACAGCCCGCGTGGTCCAGCTGCAGGGCCTGGCATCGAGTTCTTGCGTCAGGTGGTGCAGGTCCAGATGGGCCCGTTCCTCACCCAGCAGCAGCAGGAAGTACCGAGCAAGGCGAGGGTGACTCACACTCGGACTTCAGTGGCAGAGCTTTCGCTTGATCAGGAGAAGTGCAAGGACATCGATGCACCGCTGGATGTTCATATTGAGCCCCTTGGTGTTGTTGATTTCGTTTCCTTGCAGCGACTCGACGAACTTCACATCAGCTCCAACTGCAACCTGCCACACCATGGAGACTTTCTAAGACTGTGAAGCACACTGCACTTGTTCCTTTGGATCCCGGGCGTTGATTGCACAACTTGGGTGGACAAGGAAAGGCATGGCCAGCGGTGACACGGTCACTTTCCCGCGAATGGCGGAGGCACTAGCTGTCATCGGCTGAGGTAAGATTGTTCTCAGGGAGGGGTGACTTCAGGTTGTATCGCTACTACTACTAGTATCGGAACACCATATCAGGGATATTGATGCGGTTGAGATTGGGCAGAGGAAGAAGAGGGCTCACACTTCTTCATTGCAATTCATGGCCTGTCGATCCCTCCGAGCATGGTGCGCTTCAGAGGTCCATGATGGAAACGTCGATGTTGTTGTGTCCCGGTGTTCGTCCTTTTTTGCTGATGATCGCTCCCTTTTCCAGTTGAGGAGGCGCTGCTGTGCATGTAAAACGATGCTAGACGTCCGGCCGCACTCGAAAGTTTCAGCTCAGAACAGGCATGTCTCGATCAAAGAAGTTGATTATGGAGGGCAATGGAAGGAAGAAACAAAAGTGCCTGGCATGGGATCTGGGCGAAACACACACGAAGGCAACCTATCGAAGGGCCCAGACCAAGCCTGTCAAAGTTCAGTGGACCCGAGCGGGAGGACCAAGAGGCGAGGACAGTGTGCCCAGTATCTACGTAGTTTGCACATGGGGCCGAGGCGAGAGCCAATTGAACAACCCAAAACGCAAATCCCTAGAACAGACATGCAAAAGCAGCCTATCAAGCATCCCTGCCAGAGGGAAATCCGACGCTGCCACGTGAGCATGAAACAGCGCACGGGACCTAGGCGGGAGCACGATTCCCAGCGCGGCCTGTGCAAGGGCGATACAAAATCACGATTTCGCTCTTCTGCGAGGTCATCTGCATGATATATGATATATGCAATGATTGGGACACCTCGTGACGTTTCCGGCACCGGAGTTTTCCTGTGGATTGTCGAGACAAGTTCGTTTTATTGGTGGAAATGAGTTTGATTGATGAAAACTGATCATGAAAAGTTGTTGGATGTGTACTGCGTTGTTAAGGGCTTCTTAGACAATGCTGTACTATGTTCAATGTGACGTGCTGCGATGTCATGCCATGTGGTGTTTCACCGGCGGCACATCACAAGTTTACACCAAACATTGCAAAGCTATATTCATGTCGCACTCTGCTGCTCGCGCATTCCAACACGAGCTCTGGGTGACTCAGTTGACCACCAGGAGCGCCCCGGCATGCTGCCTGGAAGCGTCATCCTCAAGCTGAAGGCCAGGATAGTGTTTGGACTTGAGTTTTAAGGTACAGAATTTGAATAGCAAAGCCGCATGCATGCTCGAGCCTGGACCAGAGCATCAAGGAATAGAGAATACTTCTTGAAAAACGACAATACATTTTAGCACAATATGGCCAGGCATCAAACAAAAGGCACCATCTCGAAGAATACTTGGCTTTCAAAAAGAAGGAATGCAACTTAACATTGCCAATTTCGTCCAGAGACAGGCAAAGAAGCACCCACGTTTCGAGCGTCGGGGAAGCGACTTGCACACCGCCAGAGCCTCGAAGTCTTCCTTCGAGCCTTGAAGCGACGGGGTGGTAGTGATGCTGCAGAACGGCCCTGAAGTGAAGGACTTGAAGATTAGCCTGCGAGAGTCGCTCCTGGGCTGGTCCAGAACCATCCAGCACTTGGATGGACCCCGGGATAAACTGCCACAGATTGCCATAGCCTCGCGAGCTGGCTCGCTCGGCAGTCCTTGCAACATCTCACGCAGCATGTTTGATTGGTAGATCGACATGGCTTCGGGGAGGACACGAAGTCGAAATCAAGCAGACCGATGTTACCAAGCACTTGCAGGCACCGGTCAGCACAGGCAGTGAGCAACCACCACGCATTGAACTTGACAGGTCTTGAAAACGCGAAGCGAGGGGATGCCGCACCGGGATGATCCTGCTAGCTTTGGAGACCTGCATGTGAAGGCAGGACGGCGAGCACAGCTGATTCCGAGCAAAATCGAGCCCAGCCCAGGTGGCCGTAGAGTTCCCGAAAACCTTGACTCCGCAGCAGCGTGAATCTTGACTGCATGGTAGGAGCCTGTAAGAGGATAGATGATGCATGATGGAAACTGCTGGTAGGGGCGCTGCCTGTGTGCATATGTGTTTCGCAGATCTCGGGGGAATAAGGAAGCCATCGCGCAAGTATTCCCAGGCAGGGAGCAGTAGCAAAGTTTCGAAGAGCTGTGCGCGCACAGTACAAAACCTGTTGAACTCAGACTTTCGAACCTGTTTGCTTTTGCTCAGATGAAAGAAGCGAGCTTTGAGCGACCAGTGATGTCCGTGAAAGCGGATGAGAGGCGCCCTTGGCCCGAGACTTTGGGAATGACTGCCGGTTCCGGAAGTTAGCCAGCTTGTTCCTACCGTCTTACAATCCCAGGGACAGGGATGCGCGAAGAGTTTTGATTTGCTAAGCAAAGCAAGCCCTTTGAAAGGGACTTGCACGTTTTCCAGCATTTCGACCTAGACGTCCGTTGCTGTTGGAGCGATTCTCACAATATACAAACAGGAGGCATAACATGCATGCACTAGCCCTTGCATGTTGAGCGGAAAGCAACTACGTCATGGAAGGATGCCGAAAAAAGCCAGAACCTGACGTCTCCTTCATCAAGAGCATGGCCAAAGATGGCATGCCTTGTGGGAGAAGAAAATGCCTGGACGGCTGTGCCAAGAGTGCTCTGGCACTGTATCTGTCCAGAATGACGTCCATCCGGAAGGATGGCAAAGACCATTGCGGCTGCACAGTGGCGCGCAAGCAAAACAGCGCAGCCTATCGACTATTCTCTCAACAGCTTCCCGCTCCTGCGAAGCGGTCGCCAGCCTTGAAGTATCTTGATCGAAGAGCTGAGGGCGAAGAAAGGTCATGAAGCGGGTGAAGGAGGGTCCAAAGAGGTGCGCTCGGCGGCACTGTCCGTTAGCTCATCTTTGCAATCAGTCACGCACGACGTTCAGAATGCTTCTCATGTTGGCCAGGCGACCCATGCCCAGAAGTGCGGCGACATCCAACGATCCAACCGTCATCGAAGATGCGGGCTCTGATGCGAAATCTAGCGCATGAGAGGAGCAGGTTTGATCGATCCGGAGACAAGACGATGCGAGGGTTAACACTTCAGAGATAGTCTCGTGGGCAGATACCTTCACTTGTGGGAGGATGTAGCCTGCTTCGTTTGTAGCAGCTCTGGCAATTCCAGGCTTAGGCTTGTAGCAGCCATGTGAACCCGGAATTTGGTCTCAGGCTGCCTCGCTAGTCAGTTTGAGTGCGGGGTTATTGGTGTCAAGTTGCATCACAAAGCCATCACCAATTACTTGGGAAGCAGTCGAACCCCGATTTGGAATAATGTCGGGATGATGGCACATGGACTGCTACGAAATTCGCTTGCAAGGACGTTGATGTGGAGCCTTTTCCCGAACAAGGTCTGTCGGACGTCCTGTGCTGCCTCTCATGGAGGGGCCAAAGAGTTGGCACCCCTTTCAATTTCAGCTAAGCATGACCGGCACGCCGCAGCTTCGAGAGATTAAAACGGGATGAACCTGTGCTTCTGTCACTTGCAGGCAGATACGTTACAAAAATGATTGTTGCTGATTCTGATGCTTTGATGCTATTCAACCTGTCGAAAATTATTATCAATGTAATTATTGGTTTCATATTCAGGAATTGATATTGACTACTGACGTCTGGGCCGGGGGAAGGGTTCTATTCATCGTTCCGCCATCGGTGTGCGTAAAGATTACGAATGACGCTTGTATTAAATGTTGTTGTTCGCGATATAGTAGTCTTACTATTTATATTCGTCTTCAGTCGTATGGCTCTTGCGGATCTCTAGTTTTCTGTATGTTGAAATCACTCGAAATAAATCATGAAAAAAATAGAGAAGATTTTTTTATTTAGTATTAAAAGTGGCTTTTATGAGCGAATGATATCGAATTTATATTGGTCTTTTGAGATTCTAAGTCTTAATTGATACGAGTCATGAAGAAGACAGAAAATTCATAAGACTATGAAATAAAGATTAACATATAATATATTCTTATTAAAATAAGAAATAAATTCGTTTTTAAAAGGAAATCTTGATTTATTTCTTCTTATATTATTTATTGATTTGATCGTTTTTTATCTGAAATATTTTTCTTTATAATATATGATATTTTAAAGAGAATTTTGAATTTACAAAGGAATTTCTAAATTCATTTTATTTTTCTATTTTTTAATATATAAAATATATATTATTATATATTGATAGAATTTCAAATTATTGAAAATAATATATTATAATTTACTAGAATATTGAAATTGAATTTATTCTTAATATATTTTTTATTTTTTATTTAAATTTTAAGAAATATTTATATCTTGAAATTTCGAATAGAAGAATAGAAATATTTCGAAATTGTAATATATGATGATAATGAGTGCGACTATTTCTTTACTTTTCTTGGTGATTTTTTGGCTATGGATGTGTCTGAGAGCGGAGATTCTCGAAATTTATTAGGATTTTGCTAAAGTTCTCTGGATTTTTACGAACCTGCCTGACTATCTCTATATATGTGAGATAAAAATATCTCTGTGAGTATGTATAGTTACTTTTATATTTATTTGTCGTCTATAAGTGGATATATTGATTGTGCGGATGAATAGGTCTATTTATATGGATATATCTGAGTATATTTATTTAAATATCTATTTATTCATATCTTTCTATTTATTTCTGAATTTCAATATTTATTTTTTCTTCTTTATGATTTGATTTATCTGATTGAATTGCTATCTAGCTATATATTTATTTGATATATTGAATACCTATTTATTTGCTTATTTGATTCTCTTTTATTTGTCTACTTTCTTGTAGATTTATTTGTCTATTGATTTGCTTACTTATCTATTTAATTTCCGCTCATAAATTTGATTACTTATTGATTTATATCTGTTAAAGTTATTTGATTAATTGTCTATCTATCTATCTATTAATTTGATTATTTATCTGCCTGGCTAATTGATGATCTTCTTACTTATCTATTTGATTATTTACTCATCTGCCTGCCTACAGGTCTTATTTGTCTATGTTCTTCTTTCTTGCCTATTTGCCTATGTATCTATTTATTTATCTGTTTATCCGTTATATATCTATATATTTGTCCATCTATCTATTTAGTTGTCTGTCTATCTATCTGTCTATTTATCTGTCTATCTATCTATCTATCTGATTGTCTATTTATCTATCTATCTAATTATCTGCTTCTCTGATCTATCTATTTAGCTATTTATTTGATTGCCTATCTATTTCTCTGACTATCTATGAATCTGTGTATCTGTCTGTTGTCTATTTATCTGTCTATCTAATTATCTGCCTGTCTATTTGTCTATCTATCTACTTGTCTGCCTGTCTATTTAATTTTTTGAATATCTCTGTCTTACTTATCTGCCTACTTATTTGCCTATTTGCCGCCTGGCTATCTGTCGTCCTTGTCTGTCTGTGTGCCTCTTGCTTGCCTGCTTGACTGTGTATCTATTTATCTATCTGGTAATCTGTCTGGATTTGCATATCTATCTATATTCATATATATTTCTTTATATCTAATCTATAAAGATCTATAAAATAATGAAAATTTAGATAAAAATAATCGAATTTTTTCTTAATTATATATATATATCATAATATTTATCATAATATTCATCATAATATTCATCATAGCAACCATCATAATATTCGTTATAAATATATTAAATATTTCATATTTCATTAATAATGTTAATATTTATTTTATATATTTTTATCTCGGAAAATTAAACAATCCATAAATCATAGTCCAGAAAAATAATTTATTTCTA